GTCGTCAACCCTCATTTTTCGTTGACAGTTTAGAAAGACTTTGAGGATGTTGCTGAGAACTCTGATTTAAGGTCTAAGGTTCTTAATCAACATCTATTAAATGAAGTTGTGCAAGGATTATGCTCACTTTAAAGATTGCAGGATGATCTTGCCACAATGTAGAGCACAACATCAAATGGTTGTCATGTTTTCCTCATAAAACAAAAAATAGTTTTATATTATGTTACATATAGTTAAACTATATATAGAGTTTGAATACATAGTTCTCAGCTTCCAGCAAAGTAAGGAAGGCCCCATAAGAAATTTTTCATTCGCATCTTCAATTTGTGGATATAAAAACAGAAGTGGAAACACCGGACTTTGGAAAGAAATCTCATACTTTCAGTTTACCTCCAAATAAAGCGGTTTAGATAATCTGTTCGTCTGACCACTTGTTTTTCTAGCCCCATCTGACATCTTTTGAGTCATGTAGATTTCCAAGATCTCTGCATTTACTATGGTGAGTACAATGTTATCCAATGTCCAAACCTACAAATACAACTAAATAGGAATTATCCATTAAGCTTAGTAGTTTCCCGACTGTATTGCTCGTCAGCTCCTTTAGGAAAGAGCTCAAGCAACAAACAAACTCACATTTTGTTGTTATGGGTTTGGCACATTAATTGTTCTTAAGTTTAATGGTTCAGTCAATCTTTAGGGCAGATTTAGGTGGTGCTCCTATGGTCAGTATCCAGCTGACATCCCCCTCTTCCTCTTGTCCGATACGGCCGAAATGCATCCATTCTTCTTTTCCACGGCATTGACAACATTGACGAAAAATGTCCAGTTCCCAACTTTGTGTCCAAGAGCTTTGAGGCCAGCTATCACAGACTGAGGGCACACAAAACATGCACATAGAAATTAAAACCACTTATCCTTCCCATTTCAAATTTCAAAACTGATTACAGGTCAATTAAATCTGACTTCTGTAGCATTATGTAATCGTAATCTCCATCAGAATCCATTAACATAAATAGAAATGTTCTTCATTAGATAGATGGCCACAGTCTAGTGAATCTGAAAAACCATTAATGGACATTGAGAAAGAGAACACGAGTACCTCACCTTGTCAAAATTTTGCTCAAAATTAACATTGTTCTTGGCATCAACAAACACTATAGGCTCAGCAATGGCGGCTGACAGATTCTTCCCCAGCCACAGGTGATTCATTATTGTCTGCAAGATTTAAAGAGAATCATGTAAGCAAACAAATAATGAAGCACACAAACAAGTATGCAAACAAAATTCAGTTGAGTTACCAAGGCCACTGCTGAGGTAATCAGGCTTCCTCCCGATCCACCAATCACAAGGAGCTCTCCAGACTTTGACTCCAGGATTACTGGACTCATTGATGAAGGAGGCTGTTCACCTATGACAACAATTACACTCCATATCAGACTGAAAACAGACTAAATGACTACATTCAGTAATGTCTTTAATTCAATTGCCTTAGATTGAAAGGCCATGTTTATGTCAGTGAATTTACCTGGCCTCATTGTTTCTGCTCTCCCACAGAAGTCAGACAGCTCATTGTTGAGTATGATGCCTGTTCGTGGAGAGTAAACAGATCCTCCAAATCTACAAAACAAAACCCAACACAATAGACTCATAAAATATCATATCATAGTAGATTTGATATAATATAAAGTAGATGCAGGAATCTTCAGCTTGAAGCGACTTCTTGCTCACAATTGATTTATGGTGCTGGTGGCAGAGACAGCTAGTCCATCTTCATCAAGGACCGACACATGTGTTGTCCCAATGTGATCAGAAGAGGGTTTTTCACTGTAGTAGTCGAAGTTGTCATGGGTACGGTTTGAAGAAATCCTCTCCCTGATGCGATTAATGAATGAGGGATCAATCAAATGATCTGCACGCTGAAAGAAGAATATAAATATGAGACTGGAAAAGAATGTAATAACATTGTGTATACTGCCAGAGTGAGATGTACTACATTGTATCCCTGATTATTCCTTTCTCTTTAATTTTGTGGGGTTTGTTTACCCTGTTATTAAAGTCAGGATCACAAATGCTTCTCCTTTGTCCATTGGCGAATTTAGCTGCCTCTATATAATGATGGTACATCTGAATCTTCTGGTAACTGTCCAGGGAGCTTGGACTTAAGGGAAACCCTGCAGAAACAGGAGAACAAAAACACAACGTTAAAACTCTACGATCTGTTGCGTTTTTACTTCTTAATTATTCTGAGTATAGACGCTAAAGTAGGTCAATTCAAGGGATCACAGGAGAGTCATCACACAGTACATCAAACCTTTCATCAGTTTGAGAATGAAGGCGAGCAGGGCGCCCCCGGCAGGTGGTGGAGGGATATGCATCTGAGTGTCTCCGAGAGGAACTGTCCATGCATCCATCACTCGCACGCGGAAAGACTTCAGATCATCCATTTCCAATGTCCCACCTAAAAGAAACATGTAGGAAAATGTTTATTATTTACTTTTTTATTTTTTATCCTTTTTTTCTGTCTGTTCAAGTATAACCCCAGTTTCACAACCTATGCTGTGACTGTACCAACCTGCAGCTTTTATGTCTTGGATTAAGTCTTGTCCTATCTTGCCAGTGTAGAAGGCATCTGCCCCTTGCTTTGCAATTATTTCCAGGGTTTCTGCGAGTTTAGGATACTTCAGGGTGTCTCCTTCGCGCAGGACTGTTTTGTTCTTGTTGCAGAAGATTTTGCTGGAAAAAAGTATTCAAGAACATATTAGAACATATTATAACACAAGAACTACAAACAGAAAACAGTGAGAGCTACTCTTGTTGCACATTATCATTTGGATAATGAGACATTCATTTCATGCAATTCATAACATATCACATATACATCATCTGCAATTAATCACACTTATGAATGAATGTTCTCAAATGTTCTGCAGGAAGTGGCTTCTGCATCTGTGCGCACATTTTTGCGGAGGCAGACAAGAAGCACAAGAATGAACTCTTTCAGACTTGTCACTTCACACTGAACCCTCAACTAACCTTTTCAAATCTTGCATGTGGGAAAGGAAAACAATGTCAAACATTTTGGAAAGTGGGTGAGCATTGAGCACTGTTTTTTATCTCTGAGACAGTAAAACTGAATATGCAACAACATTGTGGACCATTGTTCTGTTAGAATATAGTAACAATCATTTTCACTAATGTAAAACCTAATCTGCTCAAATGAGCGTGTCAACTGGATGAAACTATTATGCAATGTGAAATCCTGAAAGTTGAAAACTCAGAGTCAATTGTTAACCAAGGGGTTACATAAAACTAGCATAAAATGAGTTAACCCAGGGATTTATAGGAGAGCCCTTTGCTCCTGGATTTCTGCAGTGACGCAAGGGAGCTTCAGTGTCCTCAAACATTTATCAGTGTGGTTACAAATGAGATATTCTTGAAGTAATATTTTCAGTGAGCAATTAGTAAGATGTTGTACCAGAGAGAGGAGATTTCCATAAGAGGTTTTACAATGGGGTGCTTCAGGACATATGCCAGATACGGTGGCATTTTGAAGCCCTCCCTGGCCAGTTTAATTGTTGGCTCAAACAGCTTGGCCCAAGGCAGCTTCCCATGCTCTTTGTGAACTTCCTCATAGCCCCGCAGCTCTCCAGGAACACCAATCCACTGGCTGCCTACAATGCAATGCACAGGTAGGAAATAGTGCAGCAGCATTAAACAAATGATGGAAACCAATTATCAAAACCTCAGGTGGACTAACTGAACATGGAATAAAAAGAGGGACAACAAAATTTTTTAAAATATTTAATGTTAGAAAAACAACGTAGAATGTAACTTCATCAATGAAACAGGAGCTCTACTAATTTTTTTCTTTTATTTGATTTGTGGTGATTTCAATAATTTAAAAAAAAAAAATCAACAATTAAAGTTTTCCTTATATCTGATTTGAATTACACTTAATAGAGTGTACTATCAACATTGTACATACAACTTAAGTTAAAGTAAAGTTTAAGTGTTTCCACTAATTTGTACCATATTGTGAGGACACCTCAACATTTCTCTGATACTGGAGTGACATTGCAGTGACTACATAAGGAAGCATAAGTAAGAAAACATGTATTACACACTTCTATAGACACATGCCTACCTGTGTTTAGAGTGAATGTGGTGGGACAGTCCTTCAACAGATCAGTCTTGAAAAACTTTGGGACCGTCTCTCTGAAGTTGTAGACTTTAACATTTCCTGGGAAAAAATCAGCAATAAGAATGATTGGCCTAAACAATCATTTCCATTTGAAAAAGATAAATGAGAAGACCCACCTGTTTTATTTCTTATTGTGAATATAGACCCTCCTCCAATTCCCATGCTCTGTGGATTGACCACAGCTGTGCACAGAAGAGCTGCAATGGCGCCATCTACTGCTGATCCTCCTTTCTGGAGCATGTCCCTGGAAAAATATTATTTTAATTGGATTTACGGGAAGTGTATGAACACACAGTCAGTCACTAATTATCTGACTGCACACACATATTTCCCCAACCACAGACATAAGTGAAAACATTTGTTTGATAACTGCATGCATCACAATGAACCTCTAGGGTTCAATGATTTAGGAAGTCAAAGTATCTGTATCTGTGAGTGGTGCCAAAAGGCAAGTTTAAACTTTGTGCTGATGCTTGAGCAACATACCATGAAGTCACTGGCCATGGTAGAGCTTTTTCATCATTAAATGACTCTTGAGGTAAATTGCAACTGATTTGTTATCGACTTATCAAACCTAATTATCCACAACAGAGCATGTACATCTGTCCTTGTAAGTCTGATCCTTTTCCGAAACCTCTGAATGAGTCTTTTTACTGAGAAGTTGGCATACATCAGATGTGTTCACCGAGCAACAAGAGATGGTAGTGTTGAGAATGTTTGGCTCCCCTTAGTCAGGCCAACTCAGGGCTTTGTAGTCTGAAGGGTTCAACGTCAGAGAAGGCAGAATGACAGACTAACGTTTCATAAATCAGTAGAATTTAATAAAATAATCTGTTGTGAACAGTGTATACAGAACAATCATTGCAGTTGTTGATCCTTGCTTTAGGTCTACACAGCAGATAAAGGGAGGACTTTTTGAAAGTTTATATTTTGTGTATAAAGGTTTAACAACACTTATCTGGTGATTTTATTTGTATGTACTGTGCATTTGTTTGTTTTTTTCTAACTAGCTCCTAAAACATTGAGGAATGTGTTATGATATATTTTGAGAGAATTTTAAAAAGCTGATTTTAAAAGATGACACCTGATTGATGCTGAGATGCGGCAGTTTGGTCCAATAACATGAACATAAGTGTTGAGGTTAAACACAATTGTTCTGTGACATAGATTTATTTTCCCTGCCCTGACAAATGAGTATAATGAGGATCTGCCTCCTCTGTCCACCTC